ACGCGAAGTTTGTTGCATAAAATTGCAGTCGAGTCGGAGTTAATTAAAAGTCGAGCCAATCGAGTTAATTCAATTAGGAATTCGAATCGTAAAATTTAGCCGACGGTGAAGAAAGTTAACGAAGAGTAAAATGTTGTTCAACGAACAGGTTGATCCAATTGCATAATACGAATAATTCTAACTCCGATGGAATGTTAAATGCGTCAGACCATAAATACACCACCGAGAATTTATGATCGGCGAGATCAGGATTCGTGATTTAGAAAACGGCCCGTTTCTTTTTTTGGGGCCACGTGCTCCTTAGAGAGAGAAAGAGAGAGAGAGAGACACGCTCCGAAAGTCGCAAAGTGAATTCAGGCTGGGCTGCACGCACGAGACGAGCGTGAGGGTGCGCGCAGGATACACCGCAAGATTACGGGCGAATTACGTTAACGGGCGGAAAGGTAGTTTTTCATATATCCTCGATCGTTTGCATGCATTAAACGCGCGACGTAAATGCGCCCTCCGGGCGGCCGGAAGGGCCGAGAATGGATCGACGTTACCGGAGGCGGCACCTACGGCCAGTCACGACGTCGTCCTCCCGGCTCGTGACACGTAAAGCGGTAATTACTAACGCAGGATGCGTGGACACGCATTTCGCATGCAAACACGCCGCCAGTAATTAAACGATCCCGAAGCGCTTCGACGCTCCGTGTACGAGCGCGCGCGCGCTCTAACCAGTCGCTGTCGCTCGCGTTACGACTCGTAGAACACGACAAAGTTGCGCCAAATGATTAATTAAAGGTATGCGACGAGATCCTGCAAGACGATCATCGCACGCACACGCGATCGCACGTCATGGACACGCATATTATGTAGGGGAATCGACGTGACGAGATTCGGCGAACGTGCGAAGCATCGAAACGATCATTCGGGGATCCCCGAATTGGGAATGCGAGACGAGCCATTAAAAATTCATCTTTCCGTGTGCAATGTCTAAAACGGTCCCGTCGGAACTGCTCGAGTCGGGTTAAACGAACTGAATCTCAAAATCGTGTATGGCGAATCAACTGTCCTAGTTTCTTCGGTAAAATTATGATGTTCTTTTAATTGTTCTCGCTCGTTTATTCACTCATTCATTTGTAATCAGAGAGAGAGAGAGAGAGAGAGAGAGAAAGAGATAGAACCGTTTTATCAAAGCAAAAAATAGAAAAGAGAAGAAACAGAAGAAAAGAGAAAGGGAGAGAAGAGCCGGCTTTTATTTCAATGTGTACCTGAGGAACATGCAAAGTCACGGAGAATTCTCGTTTGGAAAGCGAGTACGAGCGTTCCGTCGTCAACCTCACGGAAACCTCGGGGAAGAATTTTCTCCAAATAATGTGCGCGACAATTTCCTGAATTCGACTCGTTTCCTCTCGAGACGTGTCGCATAGCCTCGTGTCTTCCCAGACAATAGGAACTTCGGCGGCATTCAAATCAGGCAGTGAGAATTTTTCCCTCCCCTCTCTTTCTCTCTCTCTCTCTCTCTCACACTCTCTCCGCCTCTTTTTCTCCTCGGTGAATTCCGAGTGTCCTCCCGGGCGCCACTCGATCTTCGTTTCCGAGGATACTTCGGAGCCCGTAATTACCGGATGCCTTTTGCGCCTATTTGGCCGACGCACTCTGTAATCTCGCGCGCATTACGGCGCGGGTACGATGATCGCGATCGCGAGCGCGTATACGGCACCTGCGCGTCTTATCGCCGACAGATGGTCTAACCTTACGATTCCTGATTAATTAAAGCTCCCAAGTCGGTGGCGGCCGTGCCGGGCTCTTTAATGAGCTAAAGTACTGCTCGATATATACCGATTCACAGTAGCTATGACCACGTGCGATATATTACCCGCGCACCTATGCCCGCTTAATAACTCGTCCTCTCCCTTGTGCTCTCTCTCTCTCTCTCTTTCTCTCGTCCTCCTTGTTCTCATTCTCCTCCTCCTCTCTCTCTCTCTCTCTTCTTCTGTTTTCCCGTCTTCCTTTCTCCCTTTCCCTCTTTTCCTTCTTCCCTCGTTCTCTCTCTCTTTCTCTTCCTTCTCTTCTTCCTCTGCCAGTTTCCTCGCTCTTTCTGCTTACCTTCCTCATCCCGCGCACGCGGTCTTCTTTCTCGCTTTACCTTCCGCTCGGAGCCTCTCCTCCGCGCCCGACAAGGAAATCGCGAGAGGAGAGGGAACGGCATCCGAAGGATCTCAGCGTCAATTAAGCAAGAGTTGCGAGACAGGCCTAGACGTATACCTACTCGCACAATCTGCATTTATCTCGGCGAGAGTTACAAGAGCCGTTCGCTATCTACTGCCGTGGTACGTACGAAAAGTTAGTCCGTGAGTTAGCCCCGCTCGTCTCGTGTTTCGCGCTCGCGCCCGACGGGAGTCACGGAAGAGCGGCGAACGAGCGATGCTCTCGTTAATGATCGCGGCTCGCGCAGGAAAATTAGCAGCTCGCGCCTCGCGAAAGCGCGACCTCCCGTTGGGAAATTCGTGGGTCCCGTCGTGACCGAGCGATTAACACCGTGTTCGTAGCTCACGATGCGGGAACGGTGTCGGGGCTTCTGCCTGTTTAGGACAGACGACGAAAAGTTCGTTTAGCCTGGCCTTGCGTTTACTTTCAGGAGAAGCAAAATTATCCTTTGCGACAAGACAGATAAAGTTGATTCAGCCTGGTCGCGTTTACTCATGGAAGGAGGATTATCCTTTGCGACAAAAGTCTCCTCGAAGCAGCGGCCGCTCGCGACCCTCCCTCCCCCCGCGCGAATCCTCTCGAGACTCGCTCACCGATCGGTGTTTCAGCGTCACTCGCGGAATCCGGCGGAAAAAGCGGCGTAAATCGAGGGATGCTCGCTCGTATACCGGTTTCGACGCTCGGCCGAGGGTGCGCGGGTCAAGGGTCAGCCGAGTCGAAAGTCGACGCTGCCCACGGTGCGCGCGCGGCTCGCTCGGCCGAGCGTTTTCACCCGCGCGTGCGCGCCCATTGTGCGTTCCATCCGATCATTATTACCACGATCGAGCCGCGGATCTAGCCGAGCTAGACGGGACGCTGCTCGCGCGAGCCGAGCCGCGCGCGCTGATATATGGTAGATCGGGGGTGAGATAATATCTGCGGGCAGCGGGCAGGTTGCCGCGACCGGTCGTGGTAGCGCGGCGCGCCGCAGGATTTCCACGCGCGCCGCGTCGTAACGTTATTACTTTCGAGCAAAATGTGAAAGTTGGAACACGCCATTGTGTTCGGCCGCCGCCGATTCAGACAGGGTGAGCCGTGGGTACACGAGCGCCTTTGTTTCCCACCGACGCGGCGAACATCGCGATTTTTCGCGAGCCCGCGTCGACGAGGAGACGCGTTTCGCCATCAGCTGGCGCGTTGAATCAATACCGGTGGCGTCGGGCCCGATGTGAAACGCACGCGAGGGTTACGATGCCGATTGCGCGAACGACCACGTCGTCCGCGCGCGCGAGAGCGTTCTTCGCGCTCTTGAACGCTTCTCTTGGGAAAAGGGGAGAAAAAGGTAATTGTATGTTGCCGCAGAGAAGGCACACTTCGTGCGTCTTTCTTCTTTCTCTGTATTGTTCAGAGGAGAGAAATATAGGGGAGAGCGGGTCAAGTCGGCCGTGCGTTTTTTGTCGGTGTATTCATTACAACGGAAACGGAGTAGAAAATAAGTCGCAAAATTTTCCTCCTAAGGCGTTGCGGAAAATACGCTGTGAAAGAAACATTTCAGATATGTCTTGAAATTTTTATTTACTGTCAATATGTCACTCTTGATATTATACGTTCTTTTTCTACTCGATAAATACAATAATAATGATAATAACAATAATAGTTGTTTTATTAGATATACAACACGATTACTAAACTCACAATCGACATGCGGATAACAAATGTATGTTAGTTGTATCGTCAAGAAGTGCAGCATCAGCTTTACAGCTGTTATCAATACTTTGCCTTCCCTTTTCCTTAAAGAAAATGAATAAAATAAAATAAAAATAATAATACATAATAAATTACAAAATAATGAAATTATGCGAATATTCCGGTTAATGTGCAGAATATGAACTGTATCGGATAATCAATATTCAACGTTGTATGATTTGACATAACGGAACGCAGAGTAAGAATCAATATATTGTAATATTTGGCTACGTGATACGAGAATGCCGAATATTTAGGTTATGATTATGATTATTATTATTTTTATTGTTGTAATTTTTATCGTTATTTCGGAATACCTTTTCTACCGTTTCCCTCTTAATAAACGCACAAACGAAACGCAAAACCAACTAGACTCAGTCTCCCCTGTTCATCTATTCGCGACGATCGACGCATTTTTGACGTAGCGTACACTCAACGGAACTCGTCATGCTCGTCAATCAAGTACGTAGGATGACACGGGTGACGCGTTTCGGACATTTCGACCGGCTTTTATTACCGGAATAAACTCTCGTTGTTTCGCACACTGTGCTCTTCAGCCGGTACCGGTTGTCCCTCCCGAGCCCGAGGGCGCAACGGTTAAATTCCAGCGGGCGTTCTCGCGTGGCGGAATGTCTCCCCGCGAGATCCCCGAGCGGAGGAAGAGCGGGCTCCTTAACCGATCGAGAGGAAGACGGAGAGAAAGAGAGAGAGACTTGCCTGAGTGAGACCTTCCGGGAAATTGGATTGGCATTTTGTTCTTTACGAGCGTCCGCGAGAGCCGCCGCGGTTCTACAAGGTAGGACGTTCCTGTCGGAAGACCGGCCACGCGATTATACAGGGTGGAACGTTGCTGCCGATGACGGAACAAGCGCCTGTATCGCTGTCCCGATCGAGCCCGAGAGATTTCTACCTAGCTTTGAAATGCATTTCTCAAATAGTCACTCAAACACACGCGACCGCTCCTATTTCGCTTCATTTTATTTTATATTAAATATAATAATGAAAATAACTTTATTTACTTTTTTTTTTTAATAAAAAGAATCGCATCTCTCTGTATATTTTGATCGGATTATTGGGATCAGATGTCCTCTGGTCGGTAGCTGGAATGCGCGGTTGCGCGAGGCGAGCCATCGCGAGGAAGGACAGACTTGTGACGCGGGCAGGGTGGAACATTGCTGTCGGAAGAGGAGACACGCGCTCCCTCATCTTGCGAGAGAGACAGAGAGAGAGAGAGAGAGAGCCAGCGATATATAATAACGACCTACGGCATCGCTCCCGATCCGGTGAGCTCCCAGGCTTTATCCGTCTTACGTCTCGATTACTTGAATACTCGATCCAAATGCGCAGCATGCGGCGAATGATACTTCCGTAACGACAGGACGAGCGAATGCGGAGCCAATCTCTAATGAGAGGTCGCGAGAGAGCGCGGTTCCGTTTCGCGAGAAAAAAAAGAGAGAGAGAGAGGAGAGGAGAGGAGAGAACTTGACGATGTTCTCGCCGATGCTTCGCTCGCTCGACAAATCCCGGCTTGGCATAAATCGCGCGCGCAAAGAGAGACGCATCGTCTCTCCCGTTGTGCCTGGCGTCATAAATAAATGGACCGCGAAAAGAAGAGAGAGAAAGAAAGAAAGAAAGAACGAAAGGAACCACCCAGCACGTCGCGCGATCCGATCGGATCGGATTGTCGGCTTGCACGCGCGCGCAAGCGGCATTTTTGCCGAGACACGCGTTGCAGCAGGAAGCGCATGATTTGTGCCGACAATCGCGACACGTGGGCGTATGTATATCGCCCGGGAATACAGCCCGGGTCCGATTCGAGTTCCTCGATAGCCGGGGCTGCCTCTATTCTCTATCCTACATCCTAGGCGAGAGCGAGTGAGTGAGCGAGCTATCGCGAACGAGAGACGGCAGACGGAGAATCGTTCTTCCTATCCTTCCAAGTTCGATGACTCTCGGCGATGATCATCGCGAGGGGGCAAACGTCCTCCTCCCTCCCGCTCTGCCCTTCTCCACCTCTTCCTCCTCCTGCTGCCTTCTCCGCGTTCTCTCCGTGGTCCCTTCGCGCTTCGTCGCCCCCCTGCGCTCCTCCTTCTTCAACCTCCTCCTTCTCTTCCTCCTCCTGCTGCTGTTACTCCCTTCTCCCCTGCTTCGTCTCCCCATGGTCTCCCTACGCTCGAGTTATCATAACCGCCGCCATCCGTCATGCATCACTTGCCACTTTGTGCCCCGGAGAAGCCTCTCTCGCCGCGGCACGACAATCGCGCGATTCCACCGGCGAGAGCCGTCGACGATGACGACGAGCGAGCGAGCCGGCGAGATATCGCCAGGTGTGATCGCCAGACTTCTCCCTCGCGATCGCTCGATTCACTCGCCCCCGACGGGGAAAAGAAAATCGGCGCGACGTCGTGTCGGCGAGACCACCGGCGTCAGGCGGCGGCTCCGTTTGACTCGTGCTCGCTCGCGCGAACCGCGTGAATTTCAAAAGCACACCGTCGCAGGTGAAACTGTGAGAAACACTCTCGACGCTTTTTCATCCCGCTGATCCGGCGCGATATCGATCAATCCGGTTCCCGTTTCACCGCCGCGCGTGCGGAAGTGAAACGTTCCTGCGTTGAAGTTTGAGCCTCTGTGTACGCTCCGTACGCAAATAGACACGCGTGATGTGCTTATGTGCGTCGAGAGTATCTCAATTATACCAACGAAATTGTTTTTTTTTTTTCCGTGTAATAAGTGTTTACCCAATTTTTCTCAAGTGGATATTGCAACGTGTAGCTGCTGATAATGCCGGTAACACATACAACGCTTTTAATTGCAACGGTAAAGTAATTATTAAAATGTAACGTTTCGTTTAAAAAATGTTTTCGCAGGATCACTTTTTACTCGAAGGAAGAAACAACGAATTGCTTAGCGATTTTAATTCGACTTCCTCCCTTCTTTTGATAAATACTGCCCGAATGCACATTTGCAAATCTTTATATATTGTTTTTTCCGTGTGTTGCGAGAGCACCTCGACATCGGCATCGGGAGAACGCGATCCGCCTCTCGGAGGCGACTGCGAGCGCAATATTTCAATCTGAATTTTTCGCGAATACTAAATCCGCGCGAGCGCGACAATTCGCTCGCGATGCTTTATTTTCAATCAGGAGAAAGACCGAAAGAGCTAGAGCTAGAGAGAGAGAGAGAGAGAGAGAGAAAGAGGAGGGAATAGGTAGATGTGCTCAGGGAAACCAGTTTTCCACGCTATCGCTTCTATACCGTTGAATGCTAGATGCATTAATAAGAGCCGCCTTACTCGTTTTGCGTCGTTTACCTTAACGACTTGGCGTCCCGGCTTTTCTTCGGCGCTTTTCGCACCGCTCTTACTCATCCCGGGTTAGCGGTACTACCGGTCGCTCGATCGACGGGTCGCGTGTGCAGGTTGGGCACCTGCTCCTGTACCGGTGAATGGGGAAGAACTTACTTTAGAAAGACGCATCCCGAACCGTTCCTCTTCTCTCTCCCTCTCTCTCCCCTTCTCCCTCTCGCCGCGTCCTGACACGACTGACACGAGGTTAAGCCACGTCTAACTGTAAGATAACCGGCCTGCCCGGATCGTTCGGCCAGCGCGCGTACGTTTACCCTACTCTTTTTCCATCCCTCTGCTCCTCGGAGGCTCGTAGGTCCCTCTACGTAGTTTATCAATGGCCTCGCGGACCGCCGTCCTTCGCTCGGCACAAAGCGTTGGAAAGTTATTGGGCAACGGTATATTTTTTTCTCTCTCCCTCTTTCAACGAGCGTAATTCGCTAAAGCGCCTCGTGATTGAAACGTTCGCGTTAATACTCGCTTCGGCCGTGCCGTAGTAACGTGTTCGCGTGTGGGTGCGGAATAATTGTGCTTTCCACGAGAGTGACTCGATGCGTGTCGGGTCGCGAATTAAAACACGCCGATGCCCACGTGGAGCAGCAGCACCTTTGATTATGACACCGGCCGCAGGAGCGAGCGAGAAGAGCCGTGCGCGGTTTTTTAGAATTATACATTCGCAGCCGAATAATTTTCCATTAATGAGTCGATCGTGAATGGGCGCCGGCCCATAAATCCTGCCGTTCGCGGGGAAAATATTAATTACATGTATCGAGAGCTAATGCGACCGCGAGTTATTATGCAAAGGTAATCTTATCGGGGTGGGATTTAAGGCGGGCTGCGACGTGTTTGCAAATTGATCCTTCGCATTAACGTTTAATTATAGCCCCTTAATCGTCTCATGCAAAAGCACCGGTAAATTAATATGCGGGAGTATTTTTGATACGGGCGATTTAAGGGGAATTAGAACAGGTTTGCAGATTGACCGTCTTAATTGGCTCTCTATTCACCCCGATCATTCTGTTAAGCATTTAAGCTCGGCGTCTCCAACATTATATAAGCGTCGAGTCTACGTATGTGTCTGTGTTTGGCCGTGCGTTCCTTTTTTTTTTCTTCTTTACAGTCTGTCCAACCTGTTCTGCACGTAAGCGACACTCTTTCGCGTCATTCACTCGCGCGATCGTCGTATTAATTCGCATTCTTTTTTTACATTTTATTCCCCTCCGCCGACAATGCCGTTCAAGCCGATTCCGACGGATCGCTCGGCGCTTGCACTTGACGCGATCGTCTTCCAAAAAATCGCGACTCTCTGGTCGCGCGTTCAAGGCTGCCTGCCGGATCCAATTAGATCTCGTCGAGTATCCTCGGACCCGCGGTCTCAGGCGAACACGTTAGATAATTGGTCCCCCCTTTTCTGATCCCTTCCAGATGCAAGATGAATGGCGAATCGTGCACACCATAGAGACGCCAGGTAGGCATAGAAATGGGCAACAACAGCAGCAGCTCCCATCAATATTGCGCGTCCAATGGGCCGTCGCATGAGATTGGACGCGGGTGGACGCAGTCGTTCCCCCGGGAGCTGGCCAGGCATCATCCTCAGCAGCCGGGACACAAGGTCCTGCCGGAGCCGCCCAATCAGCGGCTGCGCGCCACCAATAATGGAAGCATCATTCACAACGGGGGAACCATAAGCGGCCGCAGGCCGCCGGCCCTCACGCTTCCGCACGACCTTAATAAGGTAAGGATTCGCGGCGGCGGCTTTTCGAGTCGCGCTGATGACGTGGCGTGCCGAGAGCGAGCGCCGCTCGTTTCGCCGCGCACTTGCCTGCGTCCGCGGGCGAAACGCGCGGAAATTTTCGCGCGCGCGGCTCGGCGCGAATCCTCTCGATTAATGACCCTCGGTGTTACCGGCGCCGCTGACGTCGGCGGTGATCACGCCGGCAACGACGGAGTTTTGCGATGCGATTCGGGACGGGCGAAGAACCGCGTAAGACGACGATTCGATAACGAAATTTTAAGAGGGAAGGGGTAATATTAGCATCAATATTACGAAGCTTCCAAAAAATTGTGACCGATAACGCTTGGTGTATTAAAAAATATTAACTTTTTTGCAAGCGGTGGAAAATAATTTTCTCGCAATGATCGATCTGCATTGACTTCCGTCGACCTGTTTACCCGAGTCGAAATTCTGGTCTTATGTTAAACTTGTAATTCTGTAACACCATAGGAACTAAGATAGTAAAGTAAACTCAATTTCTATTCTAATAATAATACAATTGACTCCTATTCTGATCCCGATGATGTCATAAATTTCCGCTCTCGTTTTTCGTTTCCGATCTCCAATCGTTTCCGAGCGCCAAAATAGATTGTTCGAGGCAGCAATAAAATAAAATCTGTAGAATTGAAGGTTCAAGGGAGAAGGTGATATAGTGTCAGTATCGTCAAAGTAGGTTTTCATTGGTCTATAGGCCATCTAAGTAGGCGCCAACTATTCTTAAGAGCGTTAAAATATCGAACTCAGGTATTCTTCTCATGGCTGGAAATCTAAGAGTCTCAGAATAATTGTTGATGTTATCTACTTGCGTCTCTCGATCTGTCCCGGTTCGATATTCTTATTTCGTGCCCGGAAAAGACCTCCTTCTACGAGCACGGAAGAGTCGCGTCTTCCGTCGTTTGCAATTCTAGCGCGGGTAATGCGGCGCCCATACGGAATTCGCGCGTGTCTTTTGGCCGGACGCCAATGCGTTACGTAGTAACCCGGTTAAGAGAGTATTCCGTAGGAGAACTTTTTACCGCAAATTCGTGAAATGTATCACGCGGCCTTCATTGAGCGCTTTGTGCACCTGGTCGCACAAAGACGTCGGTTTCCCATCCGCCCGCTTTGTCATGGCATCCCGTGCTCTGTGCAGCATTTATTATGAGCGTCGGCAGGAAATCGTGCGCACACTTTGCAAATCAACAATGTAGGAATAAATGTAACACACTTCATCCATTTTACCGGCTTTACGTAACAACCCGGAGAAAAAGAAATGTCTTTAACCCGTTACGCGCGCATTGCTTTGTTCTGATTAATACACTGCGCGTTCGCTGATGAATTTTTATTGTGAGAGAGTTAGTTGTAAATATTTCCTGGCTCTTGCTCGCATCTCTCCTATATCGTGAAACGTTCGAGGTGCAGACAGTCGCGAAAATACTCAAAAGGATTTTTTCAAGACGTCGAGTTCAAGAGGTTCTTCAAAACGCCGAGGAAAGATTCATATATTAAATGTAACAAAAGATGTGATAAAATAAGTTGCTGTAGATTTTATTTCTGGTTACGGGATATTAATTGCGGACGACATCGGACTTGCCAGACGCAATTATGGAGATATTTAAGTTTACTGTACTTGTTAACTTCTCGCTTAAACTTTTAATTCTACAGATTTAATTTCTATAATTATAATTCTATCTTGAAGTTATTAATTTTATTTAATTTTAATACTGCTCAGAAGTTCCCGATATTTTGATTATTAAATTCATATAAGTATTCAAAATGATCTATTTTGATAAAAAAAAAAGAAAAAAAACAGCGGAAACGAAAATTCCAGACATCTCAGAATGGTGAAAGTAGAAGTAAATTATATCGTTCAATTTGTTTTGCTATCTTAGTTCCTACTGTATTGTAGAATTAAAAGTTTAAAATAGGATCACAATTTCAGGTTGTAAAGAGACTGCATACCGAATGCATACAATTAAACACGACAGCAAGTTTGACGAAACAGTTTACTCCACATTTCGTTTCCGATCGCGGAGAATTCATTGCGATACAGGCCTCGCCGGTTGCGAGGTGAGAACGCCGCGTTATCGAGATCCCCGAGACGCGGCGTCCGTTCCCATGGAGCACTCGATTATCCTCAGAGCGTGTCCTTTCGCCTGTCAGCAGGGAATATTCCGCAGTCGCAGCACCTCGGCGTCGAACATTGGCGCGTCGCGCGGCCGCAGGCTCGAGCAACACCGTTGCTGCCACCACCGGAACGAGTCGTGCTGCATGGAGAACGAGATGCAGGAACTCAAAAGGTTCGGCAGCGAGCCTGATCTGCGGTACTCGCCTATGGAACGAGAGGCACGTTGCAATGGGAAACAGCACGCGATGGAGCACCGGCACTGCGGAAGCGGGCATTATCCTGAGAGGGACTCTAGGGAGCGAGAGAGCCGATACAAGGGCAAGAAAAAGTACAAGGCGCCGGCGCCGCCGTCGAACGGCCTCGTGGACGGTTCCTCTCCGGATTCCTACAGGTAAGGGAGTCACCGACGTTAGCAAATGATGACCGTCCGCGCTTATCGAGACGTCGAAAGTGATTAGGTCAGTCACAAATTCCGGTTCGATTTTCATTGAACAATAATCATACAACACTGTGCAACAAGAAACAGAAACTTGGAATTTCGTATCTGGTCGGAATTTTAATTTAATTTTAATTTAATTTTAATTTAATTTACATTCTGTTTTAAAAATTAAAAAAAATTTTAATTTAGTTTAAATTTAATTTTAAAAGGTAAACATTTAATTTAAATTCGACGTCGAAAATTAACATTAATTTTAATTTAGTTTAATTTTAGTCTACGTATACCGGCTAAGAGAGCGTTCCGCTATTTGTTCCGCTCATATTTTATGTGTTCACTTATGCGACTTTTATTATGATGTACGAATAATTTTACATTTTTTATTCAGTTAATCACTTTTTTTCCGCCTTTACATCATTAATCTATTTATTCCTATCTCCATTGATTATTTCTATTTCTCAAAGGTCGAGCTCAAAAATCGAACTGAACTTTGTGACTAACCTTCATGCCCCGACGCACTCTTTTGTACATCTTAATTTTGCATTGACCCACGGTGAACGCGGCATTCACCTACCCATTTTACCCCGATACCGATGTTCCCCTCCGCAAAACACCGGATATTCCACTTCCGTATCGATTCCCCCGGTCGACCGACGCGCGGGGTGCCGCGTCCCGACGTGAGAATCTCACCTGACCGACACATGGAATCCAGTCAGGATCGGCCAGCCGGCTGCCGCGCCGAAGAGGAGGTCCAGCCCCAGCCGCCGAGGCGGTCGCGGCTCTTCAAGACGCGCGCGGAGACGAAGAGGGCGCAGGTCAACTGGCTCTCCACGTCGTCCTCGCAAGCGAACGTGCAGGCGAACTGCGAGAACCTCAACGGCCCGGAACACGATCGGCGGTGGCGGGGTGGCGAAGACCCACGCAACGGCGCCGGCAACAAGGAGAACAGGCTCGCCTGGCGCGGTCATCAGCAGAGCGGCCATCACCAGCAGGAGCGATGGTGTCGAGAAGAGCAGAGACGCACGCGGCTTCTCGACGGGAAGAACACGCTGCAGCGGAGCATGAGCAGCCCGGAGTTCCAGGCGGAGCTGATGCAGGTCGCCCGGAAGGTGCGCAACAAGCTCAACTGCGGCGGGAGGTCGTCCGTGGACTCGGCGAAGGTCGCCTCCCTGGAGCGCGCCAGTGACGCCGATCGATGCGGCAAGGAGCCGAAGGTCGAGGAGTCGAAGAGGCCGGAGAAGCGCTCGGCGAGGAACGAGGAGGGATCGACCGAGGGGCAGCGCGTGATGATCGAGGACAGGATCGTCGAAGAGAGGCGGCTGATCGAGCGTTGCGCTCGATCCGAGACGAAGGTGGCCGCCTACGACAAGGGGAACGCGAGGATCGACAAGGATTACCTGGAGGAGAGGCAAGCGGAGGCGGGCTCGGGCGGCAAGAGACGACTGGTCGAGAAATCGACGACGTTCGAGGAGTCGCCGACCAGCCGGGAAGTTGGGCGAAAAGGCGTCAAGGATCGGCTGGAGCCGGCGGGACGGCCGACGGTCGAGAGGTCCCTCCCGTCGGAGAAGGAGCGGCGGGAGCTGATGGAGGATTACCAGCGGGCGAAGAGCGTGGCGAAGACTCGGAAGTACGAGCAGACCGCGGATCCGGGAAGAAGCAGGTCGGAGAGCCCGGCGATCAAGGCCTGCGGCCGAGTATCCTCCGCGGATCCTCGCGGCCAAGGTTCCGGTAGGGAGAGCACGCCCGAGCGCACGGAGGCCAAAGAGAGAGAAAAGGAGAGTTCAGATCGTAGATGGCGGAAGAGCGACGCTAGGAATACTGATGGCGCGCCGGACGAGAGGAGGTGGCCCGAACCAGTTCCCGGGACGGAGAAGAGGGACGCGAAATCCAAAGAGAAGCTCGCGAGGAAGGCAGAAGCCAAGGAAGCGCGCGAGAAAAATTGGCACGTGTAAGTAGTCGCTCCCCTTCGTCTGCTCGCGGATCGATTTGTTATCTCTCGCTCGCGAGCGTGCGTGCGTGCGAGAGCGCGTGCGAGAGGCGGATGCGCGATTCCGTTAATTATTTTGCCTTATCAATGACCGTGGATACGCGTCGCGGCGTAAGCGATTACCCTTCCGCCCGACGACGGCGCGTCGCGACGGCGATAAGAGGATGAGTAATTAGCGCGCTCGCTCGCTAATCACCGTGTCAGAGTCTGAGATGTCGCTCCCGATCGTCCCCGCAGATTACCGTCGCCGGAGAAGTCCGCCCCGAGGACCTTCTACTTCGGTATGGACGACGCGCTGTCGAACGAGCCGCGAAACTGCGTGGACCAGCAGATGGAGCAGATTCAGACCAGGTTGCAGGCCAGAGAAGTCAACGGGTCGAGCGAGTGCGGGCTCGATTACACGGACGACGTGAGTAATGCGTTTCCCTTGCGTTTCCCTGTTATTCGCAATGATGACAAAGATAAAGAAAAATTAAATATTCAGTTTTCTCTCAATTTGCCGGAGTGATGTTGCATTCAAAACGAATGGAAAAATTCGCTCGATGCGATAATGAAAATATCGTCGCTTGAATGTGCGACTCACTCGAAGATGAAAGGAAGAGGGAGAACGCGGGCAAAATCCTGACTGGAGTTTTGCTGGAGGGAACCACTCGTGACTTTTCAGGGGAAAAGCGGCATGGAGGACATCTCGTTGAAATTGCGACCTACGCTGCCGAAGAAGCAACTGGAGATACCACGATTTTCACCGTCGGCCGCGTGGAGATTGCTGTCGGCGCTGGAGGCGCCTGGTCCCACCATGAGCACAGCGAGCGAGGAAATTCCGGTGAGTGTGCGAGGAGTGTTTTTTTAATAACAAATATACAGACACGGAACAAGAATGGTCACTGAGTGAATAGCGAGTAGCTAGCGAGTGAAATCGAAGAACGTATCGGTCGCGTTAGGACACTCGCGCAGTACAACCAACCGTTTCAGATGCACTTATTTATTTATTTACAAAAATTTATTTCCTTTTGATACGATGTATAACATCCATATGTAATTATTTACATCCAAAATAATAATACATTTTTATTTGTAGGAGTAAAAAAAACTTTTTAGTTTGCAATATTGGTTTATCGTAGATTGAAACAGACGTGGCCGATAGATTTCATAAGTAAAATAATTAAATTAATACAGAAAACGTGTAAAATATATTATAAGACCGCATGCATTGTGGAACATTTAAATTCCAGTCGAGTGTCATGAAAGAAATCAACATGGCCAGAAAATGTATTCGACGTTATGCATAACCTGTTGGTAATGAAATAATAATAAAATGTGTTTATACAACAATGTGCTTTTACATGTGATATTTACGACATCTGTTAGAAACTATGTAAAACTGTATAGGACAAAGACAAAAAAGAAATAAGAAGAACGGGAGAGGAGATTGTAACTTATACTTAACTTGATGAGACACGGTAATATATCACAGTGGTCGCCGGCGACCACCACGGCGCTCAACGTGGTAAGAAGCACGTTTGCTGCCAGGTGATGTTCGAGGAGCGCATCGAACGCCTGTCGAGGCCACCTCCGCCGCTGATCGCTCTCGGTCCGCGAAGCTCGCACGACAAGTCGGGCGACTCCGGGATATCCGGTGACGCCGGAGCGGCCAATGACGACTCCCTGGACGTCAGCACCACCAACCGACTGAAGACACCGGCGACGAGGCCGACGTGGACTCCACAGCAGGACCTGGGTGAAGAGTCGAGCAGCGACGCCGGGGTGGATTCACCGCCACCCATGCCGACTCCGGTGAAATTCCCACCCAGGGCGCACGTGTTCTCGCTGTCGTTGCCGCGCGACGACAACCGTATGTACCTGTACAACCCCGACGTGAAGGGTAAGGAAGGCTCGACGTTCAACTCGCTGCAAAAGCTGAAGAGGTCGGTGTCGGGCGCCCTGGGGCTCGGGCCGCTCGACCTCGAGAGGAAACGCACGCGCGACGTCCTCGACGACAATTGGCTGTTGTCGACGAGCGCCCCGACGTCGTTGCAGCACACTCAGATCACGGACGCCACGCGATCCTCTCCGCCCGGCTGGAAGCCCAGCTTCGACGACGAAGACGACGACGACGAGGACTTGGAGGTGGACCTGGAGGATCGCAGTGACTTCCCCGTGATAATGAAGCCGCCTTCCTTCTCGTATCTGGCCTCCGGTGGGCACGTGATGTATCTTCCCGAGTCCAACGACTCGCAGTACCAGTCGCAGAGCTTGAACTGCAGGAGCAACGGGGACAACGAGAAGAACTCCGGCAGCAATTGCGGGCCGAAGTATCGCAAGAACGGCGTGGACGAGTTCAGGAAAGCCGGCAAGGACGCGGACAGGACGAACAAGTACTCCAAAGATTCGACCGTGCTGAAGGACAAGCCGTTCGCGAGCGACGGCAAGATGAGCAACAAATTCTCCAAGTCGTGCGAGAACATCTCCACGGAGATGAAGCAGCGAAGCAGCTCGCCGCCCAACGGCGGCCAGCAGAACCTGCAGGACGACAAGGAGATCGCGCCGGAGGTGAAGCTGCCGTTGAAGAGCAACTCGAAGGGTCGCAGGTTCACGTTCCAGAGCACCGTGAGGCAGATCGAGCGGCGCAGATTAGCGGAGAAGCTATCGCGCGAGGCCGAAGCCAAGGAGAGGCAGAGGAAGGGCGAGCTGGAGGCGATGCGTAAAGTGGAGGAGGAGTTCCAGCGGAAACGAGCCAGGGAGAAGGCGAACATCAGGCAGCAGCTTCGCTTGTACAGCATGGACGAGAACCTGAGGTAAGCTCCGCGGATTTATTCTCGCGCGGATGTTACCGCGAACGGTCGTGTATACTCTCAACGGGTTGTCGGTAGCGCGTCCTACGATTCGTCGGGCTTTCAGCACCTCGCATTCCTTTGCTAACCGTGTTACCCAGGCAGAACTAACGTCTAAAAGATACCTTAAGGACCTCTAAAAAATGTTCTATTTTTTATAAATATCTTTCAGAATTATTTTAGAAATTTGTTCTGCCTGGGAGCAAATCTCAATATCTTAAATTCTTGTAAATGTGAAATATGAGGACTTAAAAGTCAGTTGAAGTGAAAGGATACGTTCGTAAAACGATGCTTGTGATCGATTGAGCACGTCTGTAAAATATTTCGAAATCTTTCCTTTTGCTTGAACAAGTTGAAATTTTCGCTCGGAGAAGCCACGTCAATTTGTTTGCGAATTAAAATGTATGTTTGGGGGATATTAGAATGAAGGTTTTTATTTTTTTATTATTTTTCCTAATAATTGGAACTCGTTTTCGAAAGAATCGTTATTTTTTTTTTTTTTGACAATTTGTTCTATTGTAAGCGCAAATTATCCTCGAGATCGCAGGCAATTTGTTATCGACGACTTGTCGTAATTGCAGCAGCTTGCCCACCGTGTGGGACAACTCGCAGTTATCTCGCGCGGATCCTGATGGCGCGCCTTCGTCATCCGCATCGTCACCAACGTCGGTGCCACCGGCGAAACTGACCACCATACGGAAGAGCAGCGTAAGCAGCGACGAGTACCTGCGCAAAAGAGCCCCGAGCGCGGACTCGAGGCAACATCAGCATCATCATCAGCAGCAGCAACAGCAGCAGCAGCCGCAGCAGAGGGAGTACAAAGATTATCGGCCAAAGTACTACGACTGGGCGCCGGAGTCGTCGTCGCACCTGGAATACAAGCAGACCACGGTGCATCCCAAGGTGGTCTGCGACATCCCCAAGAGCTCACCTGTCTTCGTAGATGCGAACACCAGCAAAGCCGCGAATCTGAGCTCCACGCCTAGGTCCGATAATTACAGGTGAGCGTAACTGCTAAATTTGCGATTTTCCCCCGTGTTACAAGAGTCATAACTTCTCTAAAGTTACTTTTAAACGTTAAATTTTAAAAGAAATTTTAAACAATTTCCACTTTAAATTGCAAATTTTTCATATTTATTAATTTTTTTCTTTACGTTTCTCATATTCTTTCATTCTTCTGAATAAACATTTTCTTCACGACGTGAGATATTCTTATACTTACAATGAGTATTAGCGGAAGGAAATATAATAGATTGAGAAATATATTATGTAAAATCCGTCTCTATCAGTGATAAAGCAGAGTAAATAATCGGTTTCCGCGGGCACGTTTGTAGTTCATCTGCATTTGCACTCGCTATAAAGCGACGCTTGATTGAAAAGAAAACGGAGAGCGGACACGTCGAGATATGTAGGCTATGCAAAAGGGTTCAAGATAGGGTAAAGGTCTCTCCGGCGCCGCGCACTACGTACGTACACAGATACGTCCGTACGTGCGAGGCGTCATTCCGGAGAGTCTCTGAATTCACTTTCACTCACGTGCTCGGTGCCATGTTGAGGCTACCCGCATACAACAGTCCGCGATTGCGAGACGAAACCGCTAATGGCGAATAATCCAGGCGCGTTACCTAATAGGAAAGATTTTGCTCACGGGGCCGTGGCAGCGAGATCTTCCTTGGCGAGCAGCGACAGCGAGCTATCGCAACCGAACACGAGACCGCATTCCAGGCAAGCCGGCGGCAAGAGCAAGCCCCTACGCTCTAGGTACGTTCGATACAATCTGACACCCTTGACTTCCGCTTGAGGTTACGATTCCCCCACCCCCTGAGAATGTCTGCCGAAATAATAACAGCGATAATAGTCGATGAACGTAAGCGTAATGCTTGAACAGTCCGTGGGTTATCGTGGATTCGAACGTGGTCGATGACGTCGGATATATCCTGTGTGCCGAAGCGAACTCTACCGACGGTTCTCCCTTGAACCTCGTCATCGGTCTCTCTCCAGTCCAGTCAGCAAGTTCGGTTCGATTTTCGAACTCGACTCTTCCGCATTCAATGGGAACAAATTGTTCATCGATCAAACAATCATCGTCGACCTATGATCCCTCGCCAACGTATGCACGGAAAAAAACAGTTCCGTTGGTGTAACTGACAATTGTGCCTTCAGTTATAACAATCGACTTTCAATGCAGCTGAATGGTCATATTATGTTTATGCATTAATATGCTCGGTCGCGGTAACAGAAATACTTCTTGTCGCTGAGTTTTTATCTGATTCCAATTCAGTTGCAGGATCTTAGTTTTTTTTGCGTGTAGCATTCACGCATCTCTAAAAGTTGTTCCACGCTCGTAGAAGGCGGCTGGTTTACCGTCGGAGACCCGAGCCCGAACTTTTTGACTGACCAGATAAATAGAAGTGAAAAAAAAAACACAGCAAACGATACTTCTTCTTACGATTCCACTAGTGTTATCCTTCTTGAAAGTTCAAAGTATCGTCTCTCTTCACCTTCTCTCTTTCCTATTCAAAGATCTCGGGACCGTTTACCACGCTCGCTTCGGTATACACAGCACTCACAACGGCACATCCGTCCGTTCATTATCTCGACGTTACGTATACGGTCGACCATCGGTGCGACAGCTTGTCTTGCGTTCCCGTTGCAAGTTAACGTGCGCACACATGAGTGTGTATCGATGTCCGCTAAATTAGACGTAGTGATTAAATCTACTAATCGCACTCGGCAACGATGCCGCGCTGTGAACCTGTGCGACCCACTAATTCTTGGCTTTTTGATTTTTTTATCCTACGCAGGTTTTAAGGTGGGCGTAAAGTAAGTAGTCTTAACACCTCTAGTCATCTAACAACGCTTCTTTTAAAAAACAAACAAACAAACATACAAAAGTAAAACAAAATGAGAGAACAACGCAAGCCGAGTACGACACGGTCGCGCTTCTAACTACTACATTGGGCGAGGATGGCATAACGGATATATGTGTATTGGTGGCAAAATTGGCATCGTACGAGAGCGGATAAACCGACGCATCGGAAATATGAGTGTGAGAAAAAGAGAGAGAAAGAGAGAGAGAGAGAGAGAGATGGAGAGAAAGAGAGGGAAACCGACAGAGACAGAGAAAAAGAGAGAAAGAATGTCGCTCCTTCATTGATGATACTGCGTCTTGGTTTATCTCCCGCGACGCGTCGAACGCCGCCGCGGCGAACGCCGTTCCTCGCGCCCGGTCTTGTCCCGCGTCTATATACGGACTATGCTAATATTTTACTAGATCCACTCTCGGCGACGTGTCGGAATAGGCGTTCGCCTTGGCGTTCGGCGCGTTGACAAATACAGCAGAGGCGTCACGTGTGCTCAAGCGGCGCGGCAAAATATTGATCTCCTCCGGGGACCACCTAGAATCTTCTTGCCGTGGCTGTTTCTCTCGATGTCCGGGAGGGACCGTGAATCGCGTACGACGCGCGAATCGCTTTGAACTTTCGCACAGAAGGGCTTCTCAGGCTGTCGTCCTGCCCGTCGCGCGTTGATCTCGATCGGTCGCCGGCGGCGCGACAAGACGGCGAGATGATGAAATTTTTCGAGCCGCGAGTCGTTCTCTGCTGGTGCCAAAGTAGGCAGGACGGGAGGCAGGGGGGAGGGAAGGGGTGGGAGGGAGTGTCGAAACGGAGCGAAAAGAGTAAGAAACGGTTGACTAGGTCGGCTAGCCCAGAGCGCAGCGAGGAGGCCGCCAGCTCGGAGGACGAGAGTCCGGTGGAGCCGGTCAAGCAGGAACGAAACCCTATGAACGGCTTCGTGTTGAACGCAGTGCAGCCCTTCGTCAGGGAGAAGAGCTATCGACCCATTTCCTTCAATCCACAGCCACCTCCGCCTATACCGAGTTAGAGGCCCGTTGGATCTTGCAAGCGAGACGAGCTACTCTCGAGATTCTCCGGCGAAGTTTCCCACGGAAATCCGACGCGTCACTTGTCTCGAAAGCGTACATCTAGAGTCCTTCAAGTAAGAGTCTGACCATCCTCGACTTTCTACCGACTGGTCTGGTTCCTTATATTTGATCAAAAATTGCGGAAGTGAGGATTGTCAAATAAATGAACTCTATTTGTAACTAAATGTCATTTCAAGATGGGAGATGAATAATAATAAAGTAATGGAAAGATTATTTTCTAAGAAATTAATAAATCAATTTTTATTAATAATATTATATATGATAAGATACATGTGTGTGTAACATAAATATCGTCAGAAAAATCTTCATAAATAAGGAACTTTTAGTGACAAATCAAGCACCATTCCTCATCAAAAAACAGGAAATGGCCGAACTCTTAATTGAGGGACTCTGGAAACATCGGATTCGAGAGGAGGAGTACTGTTCCCCTCGTGGACCTTCGGCGCGCATCCCGTATAGATTTATCTGAACCAAAAAAAACGTTCGAAGGCGTCCGTAGAATGCCGATAGTCCGAGTACGTTGAGTAGTCTGCCGATTCGTCGAGGAAATCTCGCGCGAAAGAAGTGTCTCGAGCGATTCGATCGGAGGAGGAATAGCTTTCCGTGCTCCGATTTAGAAAGTGCTCCTCGAATTTCTTTAATGTTTCCCCGATGCGCGAGTGTATATATAACGGATCGCGCGAAAGAGACAACGCGCGACGTAGTAATCGTTCTTCATGCAGCATTATTGTACGTGGAACTAATGTCAAGTAATATTTCTATGGTGTGTAACAAGTAACACGATCTAACTCCTAACCAAATGTGTTCCGTACGACTCCCTCGGTCTACGTCCATCTACTATTTATGTTTGTCATATAAGCATTAACAAAAAAATCAAGAGTGGAATCAAAGATCATAAGCTTGCTACGCGAGCGTGCGCGCGTGCGTGCGTGCGTGCGATGTCGTTTTATAACCAGTTTTATGAAACCACGTCGTCGGTGAGAACCAGTAATACCGGGTACATTACTCAACAGGTTTAGGGCAGTATTTTGTAATTATGTACAGATAACAATTGCGCAGGCGAACTGCAACTATTTGCTCATGTAATGTAATCAAACAAAGGATAACGTTGTTAAGTGGCGGTGTGAATTTCTTCCTCAACCTTTACCCACGCATTCGATGCTGAGAAAGGCGACCATTTGAATGATTACTTTGTATTTTATACTGCGCGCGTAAAGTGCAATCTGTTAACTTCAATGTCAGTTTGTTGGCATGTTTGTGATCGTGTCCAGAGATTGGTACGTTTACTTTAACTTAAACCTACAGAACGATAGTGACATATGGGAAGTCGATTCTATTAGTTGCTAACTTCACATTGTTCCAAGAAACCTTAAAGAAGTGCAGTTTAGGGACTTTTGAAATCCGACGCGTGTGCGCGCTGCTGTATAGTGCGGCGGGCATCCATATTTAATCGAGTTCTCGAGGAAGTCGTAACATTGTTGTACGTCGTTTGAAGAAAACGAGGAAAGGGATGATGAATCCGCCGAAGCTTCCGAGAATCGCCGCGCCGCCGACTCCTTCCTTGGCTAACATGTACGCCGCTCGATCACGTTAGTCTCAATCAACGTGGCGAACGTCGATACGTTTTTCTCGCAAGGGTGTTCTCTGCTTCAGCCAAGTGCAGTTCGAGTCGATACTGAACGAAAGCAGCAGCGACGAGGAGGAGTCCAGTGTGCAAAGCGTCCCGACGTCGCGCGCGGCGACGGTGCAGATCCCTCGGAACAAGTCCAACTCGACCGCACAGTTCAAGAATCTTACCGATAGAGACGAGGCTAGTATTAAAAAGAGGAACACGCGCGCAAATTGCAGAGCTTACGCGCCCGTGAGGAAGTCATCAGTTCAAAAATCCAGTTCTACAACGTGGTTCGAGAATTTTTTCCGATGTAGACGAGGCTGGCATTAAAAAAAAAAAATAGCAAAAAAAGGGAAGGAAAAAAGGCACAAATTGCAGAATGTGCTCGCGCGGAAGTAATAGCTTTCAAATTCCCGACTGCTCTTTAACATTTTGTAACGCTCTTTCGACCACTTGTTTCTCCGTCCATCGGCTAATTTTATCGGTATTTTACTCGGTTTCAGCGTAATTAATGTGACAGCGGCGGTAATTGCGTGGAGAGAGCCGTGGCGAGTTGTCGCCGTTGAAAAAACGCGACGCGAATTCGATCGCTGGCAATATGCCTGCCTTTCCTCGCGTGCGTGCGCCTTATCTCGCGGATAAATATTTGAGTCGTATTCTCAACCATTAGAGATAATTATTTTACAAACATCTCTAATTAAAGCCTGTTTATTTCTCAGAAGTCTCAGATCGTATTAGAGTTATTTCTTTATCGGAGACATTGGTATACAAGATGACGCAATGAATATTACCACCTGGGATATCTTTGAAAAATAAAAATATTTAATCAACGACTAAATGACGATGAAAAAAGTTCACATTTACAGAAAGTGTTCGAGCGATGAAGCGTTGGTATCGGCGGAATTTATGTTAAAAAACGAATTTCTCTCCTACTTTCACATTTCGAAGATATTCAAGGTGGTGATATAACACTGAATGAAAATACGAGTATGTATGGAAAATAAAAAAAATATTTATTCAATGATATTAACATATTTACTGATAGTAATATACATATTTTGTATATTATGTAATTACTGAGAAAAGTGTTTCTTAAAAAGAGTTAAAAAATATACATTTTCTTAAATCTATAGTTTTTCACGAAAGCAATTGTTTATTTTATTTAAATTAAAAAATTTAAAGAGAGATTTAAGTAAATATGTTATTACCCACCGAATAAATATCTTTTATTTTTTCGACACATTTTCTCAGTGCATTTATTGCCTCAATCTTTATATATTACTGGAAATTAGCTGTTGGAAACATAAACAATCAAATTGACACGCCGGCCGCTAACGGACCATTTACCGCAGATCATTTTGGCTATGATCTGGTCGAATAATCACTTGGGCGCGGCCTACTACAACATCCTCACGTCCGAGTTGTCCGTGATGGACGACACCTACGACGATGGCGTTTACTTTAACATCACGAAGGCGCTGTACGGGCAGTGCCAGCCGCGCTACGTCATCACGATCTCAGGCACGTCCGAGGAGTTCCTCGCCGCGATCGAAGCTCTGGTAACGTCGGAAACGACGTCGGGCGATCCGAACATGTCGACTAACAGCAGCGATGGGTCGGCGCGAGTCTCGCTCAAGGTGATGCGGAAGAAGGAGCACGGCTTCGACAGATGCTATCACAGGGTGCGATGCCTCAAGCTCCAGTCGGAGCCGGCGAACGCGAACAACGTCGAGAGGCTGGTTTTCTTGCAGGGTCTATTGAACTTCAAGTCGATCGTCATGATTCACGCGTTGGGTCTGCTTTTGATCTACGTTGACCAACATTGGGCCAATCTCGCGTTGGATCCTTCCGGCAAGCCCAATTTCGTGTCTGTAACTAGCGTGACGTTGTGAGTCCCTGAGCCCTTTTTCGCGCCCTTATTTATTCATTTACCTTATGATTTATTTACCTATTTATTTGTTTATTTAATTTATCTATTTATTTATCTCTCTATTTATTTACTAAGACTCCTGTTTCCTCGTCATCCTGATTAATGACGTCAAAAGTCATGACCCAAAGATATGCCCGAAATTCTTACATACAAATTTGGAATATGTGTTTTCTCGTTTCTGACATCATACAAGATAATTGCAGCGAAGGACCAGGAGCCTCAACAGGAAAATTAATTTATTAAATTGTATATTTTTTAACACTCGAATAATGGGCGTTAACATGTCGATTGTTGATTTACTTGTTAAAATTCGCGAGTTACTTTTTACTATATTTTACTATATTTGATGCGAATATTCTTATTTCTCTTCCTCAATATTTTATTTTTATTATTCTGAAATGTATTTCACTTTTTGTGGATTTTTGAAATGCACGGTGTATTTTTATCGATTGTGAACGGGATTTATAGGCGCGACATCGTTATGATAGATGATGATACATACGAGACGCTAAATATCGTGCACACCAGACACCACCCGAGTCTCTTCAAGTGCGGCGACGTGGCGTCGAAGAAGCAAAGTGGCAGCCTCTTTACCTTTCTGAATCGTTGCCAATCGCGCCCTGGAGCGCAGTTTCTGTGGCAAGTGTCGTGCGGCTCTGGTTACGTCATACACATTTATACAGAGCTGTATTACTACGCTACTAAGTACTAAGCCTCGGTCATGATTGTAACACATCAATTAAACTTAATTTTAGAATTAATTACCGTATTTTTGCTACTCAATTTCACACGTCAAATTATCAGTAAGCTTCACGTAAAAGATGGAAATATTTCACTGCAGGAAAACGCTGCGACATCCTACAAGAAACATCGAGATTCTTAACGCGAGATTCGAAGTCGTCGAATTCTGCTTGAAACCGGATAACCAGAATACCGTCGAAACTTGGACGTCGTGTTTGAAACACCTCTATCGTTTAACCAACGTTACTTTAGATCGGTATTTGGCGCAGCAAGCGAAGATCTCCGATTGGCGACGGTTGTACAAGGTTCATACCTTTTACCATTTTTATGCAAATAATGAAGCAATTCATAAAATAACGACATTCACAACGCCCATTATATGCGTCTCATGTTTTATTTTGTATTTTGCGTCGAAGACGATCTCCTCGATAATTTACATCGCCGACGTGTGCGAGAAGCAGCGTAAAAAGGTAAGGCTGTTCGATAAAATCGTCGACAGCGTCACGAACGAAGTGCGATATGTCAAGTACTTTCTCGAGTACATAGTGGACTTCGGCGCGAAGAGATCCGGGAACGATTTCATCGTCCGGTCGAACGTGGACTCGCACTTGGACAAGTGTAAGCTGATCCTCATCACTTGTAATTCGACATGTTGCCAATATTATTTTGGCCTCCTTAGCATCCACTTATATATTTTTAGCGCATCAGATATTATAACTTTTGAAATGCGTTATCATCGTATCGAGAAATAGCTATGTATGTTGCACGGAAAAAAAAATTAATATTAATTCGAGACTTATATTCTCATATATAAGTAAGGAGGTTTTTGCATAAATTGAGGAAAAATATATCGGATAAAAGGAACGATATATTCGATCAAAGAAAAAGAACGATATCTCTCAAAGAGTTGTACTAATTTGAAGATATTCTTTCTTATCCAATATTTTTCCCATCGATTTGTGAAATTATTCTTGAATAACAAGAATATATTTTTAGTGTGACTATATAGAACGTCTTCATATAAAATTATACATTCTTGCTTATATATGAGAATATGAATCTTAAATTAATATTGTTTTTGTCTACGTGTACGCACTTAATTGTGCAAAAGCATAGATTACATTAAGTGTGGGAACACAGTGCATCACACGAGAAGCACTTTGCCCGAGACGCTGACGCGAATGGGAGAGAAAGACATGAAGGAGTATCTTCCGCCGTCGGTAACGACTTGTAAGATGGTGTACATACCGAATATCGGATACCTCCTGGCGATTACCGGATGGAATCCGTCGCCGGGCGAGGATACCGATTTGCCGAACCTGGAGTTCAAATTCGTCAGCGGCGATATACGATACTTCAAGAGTCCCGGCGCTAAAGGTTCCGTCACTCTACACCTTTGATGATCACTTCAAACTCCACGCGTCGATCTTCGGTCTTTTCCGTCGTCTAATCGTGTCGATTCGATCGGTTGCAGAACTGGACGACACTATCGGCGATATACTGCTAAGGATAAATAAACGAGAGAGCTACATCATGCTGAAACTCGTGAAGTATATCAATAAGCACGCCGCGTCGATCTTCAGCGCGATTCAATTGTGCGCCGAATTGGACACGTGAGTGATTCGCACCCTTGCTACTTTTTTTTATTTAAGAAAACGCGAAACGTCAGGAAATCAACGCCTTGGCTACCCAGCTCGAGTTCAGAAACAGAAATTTGTCCGGTCGTACACACACACACACACACACACACACACATGTACAAACGCGAAAAGATCTTATCTTTTTCAAGAAGAACCACGAATCTCAAAGTGACTCCTCAACTTCCGGGGTGAACTGTAGACAAGATGGAGAGATCGAGCAAAGAGCAATTTCACATTCGACGAGATAGATAGCGCGTGACTTCTAGGATGCGTGCGTCTAACGTCTTCCTCTCCGACGATTGCAGATTGCTGGCATTTCACGTGGTCGCACGAGAGCATAATTACGTGAGGCCGTGCGTGGTGGAGCAGCAGATCATAGCGGTGGAGCAAGGCCGGCATCCTCTGCAAGAATTTGCCACTACGACGTTCGTCTGTAACGACACCCATTCCGGAAACGGGAAGAGCCTCGTGAAGATCTTGACCAGCCCGAATGCCTCCGGCAAGAGCACTTATCTCAAACAAGTCGCGCTTATTGCGTTCATGGCTCACATCGGCTGCTATGTGCCGGCCAAATCGGCCACCATAGGAATACTGACTCACATCCTCACCCAGCTCACATCTATGAACAGTGTTGCGCTCAACACGAGCACCTTCTTGGAGGACATGAGACAGGTGCGGGTCTCTCCGAGTCGAGCTACCTCGAGATTGCTCCGAGTCGAGCTACCTCGAGATTGCGCTTTTTGCTTCCCTCCCTTTCATTTATCGCAAAAGAGCGGATGTTTGGCGATATTATTAATTCCTAATTTGCGACTTCCGAGTCAGTGCTTCGTTCTCCATGGATTTGTTTCCGATGTTTCGTGAACATCAGAAATCAATCCATGAAGAACACGAAATCGCGATGACGTCAAAATGACACGAAAATGACGATAAGGCTCACTTTTCAATCTTTTTCTCATTATTACGACGTCACTTTGAAGTCATCGACATTTTCCGTTCCACCTGAGTAATTCGGGAGTTAAATTAAGCGTTTCCCCACACCGAGGAAGCGTGAAATATCAAATATTATTGATTGGCTGTTTCATATTTGTTCTTTGCTTACGAATTAATTAATCGTCAATGTATCGTGTTCATAAAAGATAGATTTTCGAATAGTGCGATTAGAGCGCTACAACTGAAGCCGCTCGATCTCATCGGTCTTTCAGATAAACTCCGCTCTTTACGCGTCCACGCCGAATTCCATCGTGATCTTGGATGAATTCGGTAACGGTACGTCTGAGGTGAGCGGCTTGTCGTTGCTCGCGGCCGTGCTGAACAACTTCATCGAGCGTGGTGTTCACTGTCCGCACGTCTTCGTGGCCACGCACATGCATCGAGTGATAAACATGTTGCCGCGCGACCCCATGATCGAGGAACAGGTGAGAGCCGCGCATCAAGTTCGCATTCGGCGGCAATTGATGTTGAAGAGATCTTTCGACTATTTGCTACGTTGACAGTATATCTTTGAATAATATGTGCTTTTTGGAATAGAGTAGGACAGAATAGATAATCGGCTCACATTATGCTCTAGAATGGCATGCTGATTCTGTAATCACGTTGTTTATCGTTACAGACCTTCGAGTTTATTACAAACAACGACGGTACCGTGGCGTATCTTTACCGTCTAATTAATGGACATTCGACACGTAGCTTCGCACATGCAGCTGCTCGAAGCGCGGGTTTAGACGAACGTGTGGTCAAGCGGGCGTTAGAGGTAATTAATGATCGAAAAAGAAGATTAATTAAGAAAAATGTGCTTACCTGTATCTAAATATTATATGCTAATTACACGCACAAACGCGAGATGAGTTAATGTGATGGCGCTCGATTAGTTTTTATTATAAGTGCGTTTAAAGATCTAACGAACTTTCGCAGGTGTACGATAAATTTAAAGCTGGCGAGTTACCGTCGCCACTACCGGAAGCGCAAAAACAAGAGGAGTAAGATATTTCGATTTGATAATGCTTTTTTTTGTCGATTTATAATGTTCATGCATAGATTTAAAAGAGTTATAATGTTCATGCATTGATTAAAATGATTGCGAGGTTATTACGTGAAAATGTTGTGAGCAACATGTTTCGTCAATGTTGTGATTTTTATTGGTTTATAGGGCGACGCACATTATCCAACGAATGCTGGAATCTGACAATTTTGGAGCGGAGTTCTTGGAGGAGTTGAAGTTGTTGATACGTCAATTTATGGGACAGCTGCGACAAAGTCCTAAACAGAATTTTTAAACGAACAATATTAAAAAAAAAATAACTATCATTTGTAATTACGTTAAATATAAATATGTAAGGAAAATATTTTAATTCGTCTGGTCAAAAGGACCTTTATATTTCTCGTTAATAAATATAAATAAAAGACTTTTCGACCTATTGTCTGGTTGTATTATTAAAGAATAAAGAATGATTTAAATTGTATTATTGGGAAGTATGAGTTTCTTGTCGTTAACTCATTGTTAAATTGTTCTATGTGAAAATAAAAAGATAGTTTAATACATTGTCGATTGGTACAGTTTAATGATAAAATGTTATTTAGTCTATGTAGTCGAATTATTTAAAAACGAAATGCTTATTCTGATGGATATGATTAATGATTGAATTATTTTACAACTCCGATTTATGTCAGTAAAAACGGTGGCGGCTCGTAGCGGAGATTTTAGAACTAATAAAAATAACGGGTTGAAACGTAACGAGTCATGTGGCTGAGATTCAAACCTGATTTAGTTGAGATCCGAACCCAAAAAGTCCAACGAGTTTCCTCCACGGCGTCGACAGATGGCGCCAGATAGCTCGATATAAACGTAATTTTAAAATTGTAGCAAACTGACTATTGTTAGTTCTAAAGTCTCCGCTACAAGTCGCCACCGTTTCTACCGACAAATTGAAGTGGTACAACCCAACTATTGGTCAGACAGACATTTTACTTTTAAATAACCCAACTCAATAATTGATCCATTATATAATCATTGAGAACTCTTATTTTAAATAGCATATAGCAATGATGTATTAAATGATCATTTCATTTTAAATAAACCAATTTAGCGACAGGTTTAAATATTCAAAGGTTACATTCAAGTAGTACGACTCAACGACTGGTCAAACGGCTATTATTTCCATTAATTCTTTACTTTAATTTCAAACTAATATAATGAATTCAAATAATCAGACACATAATATGGCGCGCGGAAAGAAGCACGACGCGAAAATCGATCGAGTGACCGCTTTTCTAAGAGTGCAAATATGCACAATGACAGGTTGATTGATTACCGCGTCTTTCCTTATCTTTAACATCATCAATCCGTATTATCATCAATAATTCGCTAATATACGGTCGTGACAATTTAAAGAATAAATAAATCGCCTATTCTGACCGTTTTTCAGACACAATCGCTGTTCGAAGATCGACGTGCTTCTCGATCTATCATTCGTTGAGCGCATCGCGTCTCTCATCACTGCACGTCGCATCACTCTCTGATCGCGCCCGCGATTTCGCGCGGCCAGGTGGCGCGACGGTCGACTCGCGCCGGTCGGAGCTGGCGTTCGCAGTCCTTCCGTTGTCAATAACGGACACTGGCAGTATCTCGGCACAAAAGCGAACGGTCGTTCTCGCGCGCGAGAGAGACTATCCAACGGCCGAGCCGCGATTCGGCTGCTACGCGGACAGATCGTCGTCGTGTGTGTATGTGCCGTGCGCGCTCGCATTGACCGCCTGCCTGCCGTCTGTCTCGTCGGCGACGACTGCGACGGGACCGAAGACGGGACGACGACGCGTTGTTGCTGCCGCGGTGCGTTACGTTCGGCGAGAGCCGCGGCTGGATTACGCACGGGCGTGCCTTGGAGGAGGTTCCCAAAACGAGGATTTACGACGAGAGACGGACCGAAAGGAAGAGAGAGAGAGAGCAGGAGAGTGTGAGAGAAAGAGAAGAGACGGATAGAGAGAGAGAAGGAAGGACGCAGGAGAGCGTCGTCGTCGTCGAGAGGATTGAACGCGATAGAGAGAGAGAGAGATAGAGACGGAGGAAGCAAGACGGGACGAGAGGTGGCCGGTCGACTCGCCGCGCGAGTTTGAATACGAACGTAACTGTCAACCGTCATCGCGTGAGTGTGTCTCCTCATCTCGCTCGTTCTCTTTCTCTCACGCACGCACGCATCCTCGCTCGTTGATTCGCCTGTGCGAGCCGATTAATCGGTCGCGTGCAATCATCCCGCTGCGGTGGTAACGGAAAACGGGCGCGTTTTATGGTGTCGATCGCGGTGCGTGAGACCGACTAAATGACCATGGATCACCATACATGCAGCATCGACGTCGGCTGTAGCATAAACATCCAGAGGACCGACGGTGAGTGCGACACACTGTTATGCCGATATGATGCGTTTGTGCGTGCGCGAGACGAGGAGAGGAGCGTGCGCGTCTCGCAGTCTCCCTCTTTCTCTCGCTCTCTCTCTCGCTCCTATGCTCTTTCCCTCTTTCTCCCGTTGTTTCTGTCTTCGTTGCGTCCTGTGTCGCCTGTCACGCTCCCTCCTTCTCGCACTGCCTTTATTCGCTACGATTTCCCTTGTTCCTATTCGCCTTCGTCTCCCTTTATCTACAGTTTCCTCTCGTCTTCCTTCTCGCTCGCCCGTCGTCTTCTCGTCGGTGCGCGCGATCGCTCGAGATATTCTCTCTCTTTCTCGCTCCGTTCTTCCCCGTCGTCCCCTCGTTTGCTGTTCTTCTCTATCTCGCGCGCACCGTTTTTCGTTTTATTCGCGCGCGCCCATTCGCAGTTTTCCTTCTTTCCCGTTCCGTTCTGAGATGACCTCGCGCCTTCTCTCCAGTCTTTTCGTCTTTCTGAATTATCGCGTCCTCTCCCTGTCCTCCTCCACGCATTTTGCTTCATTTCCCATCCCCCACTCCTCTTTCGTCAGCCTGCATTCCCTCGATCGTGCGTTTCCGCGTTTGTTCCGCGACCGCTGTCACGCGGCCAGCGCATAGCGACGCGGATGCGACCGTCAATGATCACGCGTGGGCTCCCGTCGTCGTCGTGGCTGCTTCCATCGTTGACCGGCCGCGTCCGAACTCGCGTTCCTATATACGGGGAAATTCGCGCATGGTCTCTGGCTCGGCGGCCACGCGCGAGTTTCTTCGTATTTGTTTTCCGTTTTTGTCGCGATTTCGCAGCTGCCTTCTCTCCTACCGCCGTCCTTTATCTTTTCATGTTGCCTGGCATGTGGCAAATATGTAAATAGAATTCCTCGAACCACCAGGTACGATGTCAATGACAGGAGAGTTTCCCGAAGGAATTTCGCGTCGATTCCTTCGGGATCGCGAAGGTAGCGACGGTCGTTTCCGAGCAACGACTCTCGAAAGAGCGGTCGTGGCTTTTCGCGAGTTGAGTTCGCGGACTCCAGCGTATCCGAATTGCTCCGAACGGGCGCAATAACGGACGTTCCGAAGCCGCCGATCGAGCCGCAAGACGGCACTTCCTTTCACCGCGCGTGTTGTTCCCGACATGTAGAACGAGACCGAAAATCTCGCGAATTTCCAGCACGAGCGAGTCGCGTTCTCGTTAGCGTAATCGAAGAGCGGAAGTCCATACCGGCGGCGTCACGAAACTCGTTCGCTTGGCTTCGAATTAATCTATAAAATACTGACTTACTTTCCGCGACGTTTGTGCAATTACATACGAAGAGGATTGTTTATTAATGCTCTAACGTTCTCTCGGTATCTCCAAGGTTAAGCGAAAGATTATTTTCGAGGTACATGCCGGAGTTCAGGTTAATAACGGGCTTTGAATAATTTTGAAATCGTAAACAACGGGAACGATTTCCTTACGTCGCTCGAAGGAATCGAAATCTACCGTCGCAATCACGAATTCCCAGCGTGAATGCCGCATTATTCGCGCCGTCAAAGAGCGGAAATATTAGGTCCAAAATTGACGTCACTGACGTATCTACGTTCGTTCCTATTGATCTCGCGATTGTTTATATATATATATATATATGTGACACGCGACATCGATCATTCGGCATGCCTATACCGGTCGTCGGAATATAATCGTGTCTTTTAGATGGCTAAAATTCGCGATAACAAAGAAACAAGTTTAATCCAAACTAGTCATCAAGATAAGAGCAGTCCTGTAATCTTTTGTACGCTATCAAGATAATACCGCGAGAAGAGTATAGAAACGAAAACCAAGCGTTCCTAGATTGTAGATTATTTACAATCATTGAAGTTGGGAGCGTAATTAATTACATATGCGTGTACGCGGACAGTCGTAAGAAAGATTCGGTAACCGCCACTCTGAGAAACCTGGAATTTTGCTTAAATAATTTCTGAAATTAAGGAACGGTGAAGAATTTGAAAATGTTTGAAAAATTTTATTCTCCAATTTGTCATCACAATATTATAAAACATATTATCACAATATTATAAAACATATGCCGTGGAATTTTTTATTTAACATTTTTTTCAATGTCTGTCACGATTTCTAAGGTATTAGCAGGGTAAGGAAAGGTCGGGGTCATTTATGATTCTAACACAATTTTTTTGTTATATTATTGAAAAATATATTCTTGCTCTTCGTTCCGTATGGTTTTTTTGCTCTTTTTTTATTCAGAAACAGAATGCATATTCATATACATGAGTCATTTATAACCCTATGATCTCACGTCCTGCTACTCCACCTTTTTTTGCGAGAGTTAACAAAAATATCAAAATCATAGTTCCTTTTAAGGGTTTTATCCCTAGAACCGAGTTTCTCAGTCCAAATATAAAATATAATATTTTAGATTCAAATGTATTTTATTTCCACGAAGTTTCAGATTTTTCAGAATTTGACAAGTCTTACCGAGTCCCCTTGTAAGTCGCGAAAAATGAAAGGAAGAAATAGAAAAGATCTCAGTCCCTAATAATTCGGTCATCCATTTACACACGTCGTTACACATCCACGATCGCCACGAATCAACCTGTCCGTCTCCATTCCCCCTTGAAGAAATATCCTCGAGCTAGTAAATCGGCCGAAGTTCGGTCGGTAAACCCATTTACTTCTCGCGTCAGTCCTCCTCGAAGGAGCTACTGGGCGAGAGAGCACGTGGGCGAATATATCTTCCGATATTTAATTCAAAGTGCGAGCTCGAGCGATGGCCGGTCGGTGCTTATCAACTATAGACGAGAGCCGACCACGAAGCTTCGCTCGGTGCAGTTTGCGCTTCGGATGCACACTCATCGCTCACCGTTACACGTTCGTCCGTCCGTTCGTGAGGCAGCGAACGCGGCGCTTCAGGGGGAGGCCAACA